TGGCAACCTTATCCACAATCCCGTCGGTGGCCAGGGGGGGACCTGGGGACCCTAAACTGCTGCCAGGGCTAGGGTTGCCAGCCTCTAAGTGGGGCCTGGAGGACCACCACCACCCCAGAACTGCAACTGAACTCAAGACAGCAGAGATCTGTCTTCCTGGAGGAAATGGCTGCTTTTGAGGGTGGACTCTGTGGCATTAGACCCAGCTGAGGCCTCTCCCTTCCCCAAACCCAGCCCTCGACAAAATCTCAAGAAATCCCCCAGCCTGGCACTGGCAACTCTTGTGAGGCCTGGCCCCACGGCTCCCTTCCTCCCTCCCTCTTTGAAAGGCCAAAAGAGGCCAGGAAAGGGCCCTTCCCCCACCCTTTGACTCACAGAGCCAGTTAGACGCTCCCCCCCAGCCCTGAACGTTCTAATCTCTCTCTCACCGTTGATGCCTGGAGTTAGATCCCTGCAGAGGCCATTTCAAAAGGTATTGGGGGGAATTCAGCCGTCCCTGAAGGGATTTTTTTACTTCTTGGATTTTTCTGCAGACACAGGAACTATACTGACTATGTAGGAAAAGCTGTTGGGGCAGAGTGAGCTTCCTGTTAGTGGAAATAAGTATCTGCACACGGCGCCCTCTGTTGGAAATTAGAATATAAGATATTGATTCTTGGCCTTGGCACAACACAAGCCACAGATGCTGCTACTACACGCCAGTGCAACTATTTGCCACTGGACTACAAGCTCTGGAAATGCCAATGTCACTTCTTTCATATACACTTTTGATTGACACTACAGCTTCAATGATCTGCACTTCTACTATTCATGTCCAGGAAAAAAATGTTGTACTCAACATTCCCTGGCTCACGGCCCTACCTTGCTCTAACCACAGATCTAACTCACGGTAGCCTATCACCTCATGAACAAAGATTTATATCCACTACAGGAGTTTTACATAGTGGGGATTCTATTGCATTTGCTACTTTTGCCATGAAAAGGTACTGCTTAAACTCCCTATGACGTACAAAATAGATGTTTAATTCTTTACCAAAAAAATGGCACTCCAGGTTTATGGAGGTGCACTACATATCTGCCCTGTACTTCAACTAATGTTCCTCTTCAGTTAACGTTTCCCACAACCTACACATTTTTCGTATATTAAGCACAGGAACATTGCATCTTCACCTTTCTCTAAGTGGCACAATTGCATTTTTATTTTAGAGCTATCAAGCAGGGTGGTGTAGGTCCAAGCCTATCCACTGAGCTGCATAACTGAGCATGGATTTGAACTAGAATACCACCCAGTAATTATGTATGGAAAAGGTTATCTAAGCAAAAACTAAATCAATCTCAAGGTGGGTATGGAAGTCCCTTTTAATACAGATATGCCAAATCTTCATTTAATATCATTAAAACTTCAGGGCACAAGATATAGTAATCCCCAGGCAACTACAAATCATATGGGAACACTACACTATCATGCAGCCAAACAAGTTAATCAAATGTCATTAAGTGCGAACAAACTAAAGCTAACGGAAGTTCTCTCACTTTCAACTGACATGTGGAGGGAACACACCCAGTGCTTTATTTTGCCATACCACACTATAGCAGTTTCCTGCATTTGAAATGCTTTATAACAAGACAACACAAATCCAGTTGCCTGAGCAACACAGAGATGCATTTACCACACTGCCATGCTGAAGGGGGGGGGGGCAATGAAACTGCTGCAGTGCAGAATGGCCAAAGAATAGCATCAGCTCAGGTGCCTCAGAAATGGGACAACTCCACACACATGTTCACACCCTTTTCCTGTATTACCAGAAGCTGCTAAGAAGAGAGGCCCCTGTTGAGAGGTTGCAAAAATGTTCACGAAAATTGGGACCACTGCAGCTCCACTTTCCCTTTAATTGCTTTACAAAGACTCTTGAATCAATATAGTTCTTTAGAAGAAGAAAAAGCTTTCACCATTCAGGAATTAAACCTTAAAAAGTATAATTTCACTCTATTATAAGGAAGAGCACAAAAACATGCTCATTCCCAGTTGATCTTACACTTTCACAGTGGTTTGATTCTGTTACATAGTCATGAATTTACGATTTTCCATGTTGCTAGCAACACAACTTGCTTTATTCAGAAATATTATTATTATTAATATTAATAATAATAATAATAGTGTTACTTATTAGTAATACTGAGAAAAGATGCAGAAAACAAGATGTTTTATTATTTATTTAATTTATACCCTGGATTTCTCCTAAATGGAGACCCAAAGAGGTTTACGTGGTTCTCCTCTCCTCTATTTTATCTTCACAACAATCCTGTGAGGTAAGTTAGGCTGAGAGTGTGTGTGACTGGGCCCAAGGTCACATAAGAACATAGGAGAAGCCAATGTTGGATCAGGCCAATGGCCCATCCAGTCCAACACTCTGTCACACAGTGGCCAAAAATGCTAGGTGCCATCAGGAGGTCCAGCAGTGGGGCCATGACTCTAGAAGCCCTCCCAATGTTGCCCCCCACCCAAGCACCAAGAATACAGTGCATCACTTGCCCCAGACTGAGAGTTCCTATCTATACCTTGTGGGTAATAGCCACTGATGGACCTCTGCTCCATATGTTTATCCAATTCAATTGTCACCCAACAAGCTTCCATGGAAAAGTGGGGATTCCAACTCAGGTCTCTATATTATAACTCTATTATAAGGGAAAAAGAAGGAGCCACCTAACTTTTGGAGATGGAGTCTAAGCTTCTTGCCACCTCTGACAAAAAAATGTGCTTCAACTTACAATGCACATGGATTTTGTTCATTACCCAACAGTACTTTCCATAGCCTAGATCCACTGCACCCAGTGTTCCTAACCAAACATTTGCATTTATACAACTACCCTTCCTGCTGTTACATGTGTGATTATCCGAATATAAAATTCAAAGGTATGGGCCTAGACATGCTCCTCAATACTGACCACATACACCAGTGTACAAACAAATCCTGCTATTCTTCTAATTCATAAATATTACAGTTTTCTTCCAGTTTCTCATCCATCACCTTATAATAAGCCATACTCCAAAACACACAGCAGCTCGCAGAAACCAATCCGCACTTTGCTCTCACAACAGCTTCTTCCAAACAGTTTTCAGAAAGGTGATTTTTCTGGCTCCCTCTGATACACTTTATAAGATACACTTCTTGCATAATTAAGGACAGACCTGACTTTGGAATGGATCATATTAAAGCTGTACTGACAACAAGCAGCCTGTATTAAAAACCTATCTCATCTTCTTAATAGAAACTGTAGTGAAGCCTGAAGCTTTGCTTGCACATTAAGTTCCTAGTGTGCATTCAGCAGACACACCCACGAATTACTGTTTTGTGCTTCATGGAGTTACTAACAAGATGGAGCATTAGAAGACATTTGGGCCACAAGTCCAATTATGGAAGGCAGACCAGATGTTCATCAGAATGTGCAGAAATCCAGCCTAAGAGGACAGGTTAACAGTTTAAGAATAAGACAGGTAGCAACTGAAGGGCAGGTATGTACTGATAACTGCAATGCTCTGAAGAGTAAAAAAGGTAAAGGTAAAGGTTCCCTTGCTCGAAAGCCAGTCGAATCCGACTCTAGGGTTGCGGTGCTCATCTCCGTTTCAAAGCCGAAGAGCCAGCGCTGTCCGAAGACATTTCCGTGGTCATGTGGCCAGCATGACTAAACACCAAGGCACACGGAACGCTGTTACCTTCCCACTGAAGTGGTACCTATTTATCTACTTGCAATTTCTTGCTTTCGAACTGCTAGGTTGGCAGGAGCTGGAACTAGAGACGGGAGCTACTTACAAACCTCCCCCCACCCAAGTAAAACAGACAGAATACTTATAAGGTATATACATAATAGGAGAAATTCCCGACAGGCAAATTTTGAGGATTCACAGATACAAATCAGTCCCTTCAGGGTACAGGGGAGAAAAGTAGAGTGAGTAGGACTGCTACCTCAGATATGAATTTTATAACACTAACAACACCTCAGGGAAACAGTTCTCAGAACATTATCTTAAAAGGCAAGTACTACAAACGAAGGGTCAAGCTGGGCTTTGGGGAAGTTAGATAAAGGACTGTCATTCTCAGAAACATGCACAGGAGAAAGACTGGGTAGCAAATTTCTAAACTGAAGCTTAAATAATACAGGCTTCAACCGGCCAGATTCTCAGGTCAGTGTTGACAGTCAGCATGCAGTCAAAGAACTGAGTTCCCTCCCCAGATTACAGGCAACACAGAGATCTCTTTTCTGGTATGAAGTGGGTGAAACACTGATATAACTGGAACTCACTCTTAGAGTCAATTTAGGATTATATGCCCAAACCAGTCCTCCCTCAGACTGGGCAGAAATGGCCTGCAACAAGACCACAGCAGCCAGGCAAGTACCAGGAAAAAAGGTGGAAAGGCGCTTCAGCTCAAGGAGGGGGCAAGTTCCCGGCAGATTCATTGGACTTAGGAGCTGAACGCTAGCATGCCTTTTGAATGCCAGAGGGCAGCCCCAAAAACCTCTGAAGGAAAGCTAGGAGCCGCAAGCAGGCTCAGGGGTCAGATGGATGCCAACCCACTGGTATGTGCTTCACAAACTGGCCACTAGTCCACCAAGACTTCTGCTAAAATTTATATTTAAAAAAAAACCCAGCTCAGGTCTCCTAGCTAAAACACTCCAGTGGTGCCCTGAAGCCTAACAACATTCATTCCAGCATAAACTGTTCATGTTTCCTGTGAGCTATCTAGAGAGGATGCTTCAGCCTCTACAGGCGTGTCCCCCCCAAGCTCCTCTACTGTCGGAAATTAAGCACGAGTCCCCGGGGGGACAGAGAAAGCAGCGCCAGATCCGGGAGTTCTACTTGCACGCACGCGCTACCTGCACGCAACTTGCGAAGGGAGAACGCGCGTATTGGGTGGGGGGAGAAGGTGGAGTAGGAGTAGCAGGAGGACAGCCCGGGTGGGGCTGATGCCAGGCAGACAGCCACTCGCTCGCTCACTCACCCACGCGGGCAGGTCGCCGGAGGAGACGGCCAGCCGCACGGCCCGCTCCTCGTCCTGCAGGAAGGCGAAGGCCCGGTCGAGGCGGGAGTTCTTTCCGCCCCGGTGCCTCTGCACCCAGAAGAGGCACACCAAGGCGACGAGGACCCAGCTGAAGCTCAGCCCCAGGTAGCCCAGCACGTACACGGGGAAAACGAGCGCGAAGCTCCGCGCGAACTGCGACGCCAGCCCGGCCAGGTCGACGCTCAGCAACGACGGGGGCGGCTCCGGCTCGGAATCCCCCCCGGCGGGGCCGGAGCTCGGCCCGGGTCCAGGGGGCGGCGGCGGCGGAGGGGCCCCGAGGAGGGCGGGCGAGGAGGCAGGGCGCGGGCGGGCTCGGCGGAGGCGACTCTCCGCATCTCCCCCTCGCGCGCGCGCTCCCGCCTGTCAGGCGCTGACTGACAACAACCGCCCGTTTCCGGGTTCGGAGCAGCCCGCCCGCTTCGAGCCGAACCATTCTCGTGGCGGGGGGAGGGGTTGACATTGAGACAAACCAAGTGGTTGAGGCGGGGGGAAGCTCACTAGCTCACCCGCTCCCCAGTCTTTTGGGAGACGCCAGCCAGCCACCCCTCTCTGCCTCCTGTGGCCGCAGGTCGCGTAATCACAGCTCCCTCCCTGCTAGGAGCGGCGTCGCCTTGGGTTTTTTCCTCCCCCCTTTTTGCTGCTGATTCCATCGCAGTGTAATCCCCACGCTGTTCCTCCAGTTGCTTGGACATCATAAACGCTTAAAAAGGGAGAGAGACGTCAATATTTACTGAAAATATGCAGAAGGAGGCTAATTCCGGAGGGGCAGAGGCGTGCTGCAGGAAGAAAAGAAACAGGAGTTTTGTTGCACCTTGAAAGACCAAACACATTTATTCGAGCATAAACTTTCCTTAGATGCTCACTGGGTCAGGTGCATGAAGTGTGCATCCATTAGGCAGATATATTTGTATTTAAAGCTACGGACGACAGAGTGGCGGGAGATGTTACAAAGGTCTGTTTAAAACAACATCCAAGCCAAAGAGTAACCAATAGTCTCAGATCTTGAACTGTGTTTGAAAACAGCCTCTCTGAGCAACTTTCCCTCAAAAAATCCTGCTGTAGCTTTATGCGTTCCTGCCTAAGGATGTACACTTCATGTATCTGATGAAGTCAGCTCTGACTCACAAACCTTATGCTGAAATTATTTTATATAATGTGGTTTTACTTATTTAAATGCTGTATTTTAACATATATATTTATACACACACACACACCTGTAATCCACCCTGAGCCTGCCCAGGAGGGCGGGATACAAATTAAATAAATAAAGGCTGCGGTCACACGGAGCATTAGCCACGCTACTGAGAAGGATGATAGGCAGATTTTCCGGGCACGATCACACCGCAACATCTGGGAAGCGTAGGGCTCCCATGGCGAACCCGAGGCTTCCCGCCGAAGATGCGGAGTTAAAAACGAGTACCTCCGAGGTACTAGTTTCCGGAAACCGCGGGGCAAGGGCTGGCGTCTGATCGCGTTTCCAGTGGTAGTCCGTGGCATCCGGTGCCCGCCCATGTCCCATCACAAACAGGTGTTTTTTTCTCCAAGTCTCCACAGGATGCGTACAAGCACCCAACGGCGCATGCGCATGAAGAGGAAAGCGGAAGTTCCGTGGCCGTTGGTGAGATCACGCCGCGCCGCTTCTTTGCCGCGCCGCAGGATTGTCGTGTGATTGCCACCTCGCCCCTACCCACGGGACCTCGATGGGACCTGTGATTGGGCGGCCGTGCGTTATTTTGCTCTGGGCCAAACTGCCACGCTCCCCCCCCCCGCATTTTACAGCCCGTGTGACCGGGACCAAATGCATGTAAACTGAGGAGGAAAAGCCTGCCACCATGACCCCACTCTTTTTAATGTTAAGTGCACCACAGTAATCTTTAATTCAGAAAAAGAGAACAAGCCTTATTGGAAGTGATTGTTTAAAATACTATAATGTGTTTTCTATGTGCTCAACACTTTTTTCCCCAAACAATTTTTATTCTTTTTCAAAAGGAATACAGAATTAAACATTATAATTTTTATTCTTTTTCAAAAGGAATACAGAATTCAACATTATAATACACACATATAGGTTGCTTCACTTAGAGAAGGAAAAAAAGAATACTATAAGATTTCTATCTCATAACAACTTACATTCTTTCGGAATACAAAATACAGAGTTATAAACTTATAACTTGTCAACTGTAAATAATTATTTTATATCTAGCTTTATTGATGCTTTCCCAATTAAAGTTATCAAAGGTTATTTTTTCTATCATGGGGAACCATTTTCCTAAGGGATTATATATTTCGCATTCATTCTGGTCATTTGAGTTATATATAGATATCGTTTCAAGCATGAAAAAGTCCCATATCTTGTGAAACCAAAATTCTCTGCTAGGAAAATGATTGTCTTTCCAGAATTTGGCTATAATAACCTTGGCAGCTGTTATTAATATGTTGATCAATTGTTTTCTAGTATTAGGTATATCATCATCTGGCCAGAGATTTAAAAGCAACAATTTTGGATCTAGTGGGATCAAATAACCGGTAAGTGTCTGAATCACATTTCATCTTCCCCATCAGAGTATCTATTTATATTTTTGCCATCAAGTCACAGATTTATGGCAACCCCAAAGAGTTTTCAAGGCAAGAGACATTCAGAGGTAGTTTGCCATTGCCTGCCTCTGCATAGAGACCCTAGATTTCCTTGATGGTCTCCCATCCAAATACTAACTATGGCCAGCCCTGCTTAGCTTCGGATGTGGTCGAGCTCACCTGGGCTATGGAGATTGGGGGGCCCATCATAGCATAGAAACTCTTTCCATGTTAGAGCTAGAGGAAAAAAGATTAGGGCCTAAATTTCGGATGTGATAAACTGGTGTCCAGACTGTACATCAGCCTGCAGATGACAGTTGACTGACTGAATGTTCTTCCTCCATACAAAATAATCACTTATTAAGAAAAAAAAACTTGATGTCATGAAAAGAGATTTTAACCTAGTTTCCCCAATGACATCTAGTCTCCTACGGATGGACTTATTATGCATTTGTGTTGGAGTCTTCAGTCATTTGGACCTTTACCTACAGTTTGAAGTGGTACAGTAAGGAACAACCTTACCCTGAGAACTAGACCTGTGAATATACAATTCATCCCCCCCCAAAAAAGGCAATGCTGTTATGGCACCTGAACCCACATTTCCATCTTCTAAAGACGGTTTGTTGAACTCTCCATATTTTTAATTAGTCTTAGTCATGTTTCATAGCCTTGAAGCAAGATAAGCAGAAACACTGAAATACTCCCAAATACCCGAAACACCTTTTGAATATAGCAATGCCTAGATGGTACCATTAAAAATTGCCAGGCAAAAGCTGGATGTGTAGAAAAGCAATCCTTGTTCTTGATCTTTGTAATCTGAAACAGCAAAGTTAGTGTAGGAGGTTGTATTTTATGGTGTGTGCTGGATTTATATGACAGCAAAAGCCAATAAATAAATTGGGTACTATTTGTGAAGGGCAGTCGAGCATTTGGTCCATCTGTCCACACCTCCGTTTGGAACAAACCCCTCAGTTTAGCACCTGTACTAACCTGAGCACTGAAAGCAGCTGAAAATGAGAAAAGTTACACATTTTCAAAGGCAACCATACTAGAACAATTTTATCGGGATTAAATACTTTGGTGCTACTGTACCAGAGAGGCTCACGGTGTCGTCATAAGCAGTGTCCCATCCTCCTAAAGACCATTGACTGCAATGGATTTAGAAGGACATAACTCTGCTCAGGATGGCATTCTAGCGGTTAATTCCTAACCAGAGTTACACTTTTCTATGCCCATTGACTTCAGTGGTCTTAAAAGGCTGTTAACTCTGATTAAGATGGCAATGTAAGAGAACAAGCAGTATCCCGAGTTCCTGTGCCACCGCTGCCATTTCCTCAGCAGACAGCCTATGGCAAGCTGCAGTCTCCATCTGAAGATACAATGGGAGCACACAAAGAATTTGTGGACAGGGGCAGCAATTTGGCAAAAAAACAACAACCCATAACCCAACCCATCACCCCCTATTAACTCCCTTAAACATTCTATGCTCTCTTAGAACCTTGAAAGGCTGCTTTGGTGTAGTGGTTAAGTGTGCAGACTCTAATCTGGGAGAACCAGGTTTGATTCCCCATTTCTCCACTTGCAGCTGCTGGATGACCTTGGGTCAGTCACAAGTTCTTTCAGAGCTGTTCTCTCAAGAGCAGTTCTCTCAGAGCTCTCTCAGCTCAGGGAGGGGAAGGGAAAGGAGGTTGTAAGCCGCTCTGAGACTCCTTCGGGTAGTGAAGGGCGGGGTATAAATCCAATGTCTTCTCTTCTTCTTTAATCCCCCCACCCTTTTTCATTTATCTGATGGCAGCTGTTAACAACAGTGGGTCATCAGACCAGCTTCCCCCCCTTTTGATTAATTTACAAAGTCATATTTTTCTGCATACCTAGAGAATCCTGCCTCACAATATGTATAGACCAACATCTGAAGGTGTCTTGGTTTTACTGCTTTTATAGTTGACATGGTTGCCAGCCACTTTACTGTTATTTATAGTGACAAACATGACCTAATATTTATTGTTAGAACTACTGAGAGATGCCTTCAACCAAGTGGGTCTACAAAAACTTACGGACAAGAATAAAACTTTTTGAGTCACCTTTAAGGCCAACAAAGGTTTAATCAAGGTATGAGCTTTCATATGCTTGCACACTTCCTCAGATACATTGAAATGGAAGTTAACAGTTCATATATATAGACAGTTGCCTCTACATAGGTGAACAGCAGATTAGCATACAATAACCAACCCAGGCTGCCCACCAGGTGACACGAGACTCATATATATTTTTGAGATAACATATGGAACCTGTTTCAAACTCTGTAAGGCAGGGGACAGCAACCTTTTATAACAAGAGATAGACAATGCCAAAATTCACAGAAAGAGATCAACAAATAGGCAGTTTCAGTATTTGCATAATAGATATGATTCATAATCCATAAGGTTTCTGTAGCTCAAACTGGTAATAGATATGATTTATAGTCCATAAAGTTTCTGTAGCTCAAACACTGGTTGTTATGAGGGCTTTAATAGAAAGTGGCACACAAGAGGGTCTCACAACAAGTAATCTGTGCAGTAGCACCCTACAGGATTGTTTTAGTTGTTGTTGTTCAGTTGCACAGTCGAGTCCGACTCTTCGCGACCCCATGGACCAGCTCCCGCCAGGCCCTCCTGTCTTCCACCGTCCTCTGGAGATTGCTCAGTTTCATGTTCGTTGCATCAATGACACTGTCTAACCATCTCATCCTTTGCCGTCCCCGTCTTCTTTGATCTTCAATCAAAGGCAGAGGGCGGTGGCGACACAGTTGCAAGGCTTTCTGGATGACGCTTCTATCCTGGATCCATTTCAGTCCGGCTTTCGCCCTGGTCATGGGACGGAGACGGTGCTGGTTGCCCTTACTGACGACCTCCGGAGGCATCTGGATCGAGGCGGTGTGGCGGCACTGGTGCTGTTGGATCTGTCGGCCGCGTTCGATACGGTCGACCACCAGTTGCTGACCCACCGCCTCGCCGACGTGGGGATTCAGGGGCTCGCCCTTCAATGGCTTGCCT